AAATCCAATACATAAGCAGAGATAAGTCCTGGTGTCACTGCCAGTGGCTCCTCAGTCTGCCCTAGCAACTGTCAACCGCATTCAGAGGGACCAGTTTCGTGCTCTGTGTCCTCCTTCCCTGTTCCTCTGGAGTTGGTGAGCTCCCATCAGCTCCTGCAAGATGTTTTAGTGGGTGGACCCATCAGGGTCTTGACCTTGTTGTTCATATTCTCATTCCTTTCCCTCTTCAAAAGGACTTTGGGTGCTAAGTCCACAGCTCCGATGTGGGTCTCTGCCTCTGCCTCCATTGGTTGCCAGATAAAAGCTCTATAGGGGATATTTACGTTTTATCTTAATAATCTCTAACAGGCATGGTTTTCATACTACTTATCTTTAGTGTATTTTGGAGGCAGTACTTACTCCCTTAGCTAAATTCTACTTTATGTGACTTAATGCCTCTTTAAGATTTGGTAGATCCTGATATAGGATCAATTCTGTCACCCACAATTCTAATCTTCTGTAATTGTTTAACAATAGAAAGCTACTGTTCACAGGGGGTATCATTTACATACTCCAAACAATCACAACAATCAAAGCCAGATGGATCATAAAGCTAAATGTTCAGTTTTACTAGTGCAGAAATTCTGGAAGAGACTAGAAAGACCTGGCTTCTCTTACTTTGGCAAATCTTCGTTCCATAGTACAATACAAGCACTACAGGCACCAGCATTGCACAGTAAACTCAACAAGAAGGGCTTTTCTAAACACGATCCCTCTCCCAGTGCTCTCCGTGGATGCAGACCACAGAGTTAAATTATTCAGAGACTGCTGTTTTAGCGCAGAGAATTACAAGGATCACACAGATACCATGGAGAACCAAGCAGAAACACGCTGAACTCAGCAAGTGCCCACTAGCTCCGACCCAAACAAGGGAGTACCCAGCACATGAGTTTCGGTATTTCAGCCAGCTTCTCCACCTTCTGGGGACAGTGGCGCATCACTCACCACGGCCTGCCACTTTTCCTTCTCCGACGACAGCTGCCCATATCTCACCATGGTCTGGCTGCAGAGCTCAGCCATACTCTCTGCACATGGAGCCCACAGTGCAGCCGAATTTGGCCGAACTTCTGAATTCCACAAGTGATCACCTTAGCCTGGAAACCGGAAAAACCCTCCCATCTGAGTGGCAGTTCGGCGGAAGGCTCTAATTGGCTATTTTTGCCGGAGTGACATTCATAGTGAGCAGAAGGAACACAGCACAATGGTTCTTAGGTGGAGCTTCCTTCTAAGCACACCCCTATCTCAGAGTTTCTGGAAGATTTGAACCAAATTCTACAAGTCTCTTATTAATGTAAACCTGTGGTTTCTGTACTCAAAGGAAGTATTCAAATTCAGAAGGACTTGACCTGATCGGGGGAGGGGGATGAAAGCCCCTACAGACCCCCCCCCCCCCCCTCAAAACCTGCAGCTAGCCGGCTCTCATGAGAACATCCTGTTTGTTTGAGACCCTCAGGACCCTCTCAGGACCTGCAGCTAGCCGCGCTCATGAGAACATCCCGGTTGGGTAGGAAAACAGGATGCCTATAGTCAGCACATGTGCCAAACTTAAAATATCAGCAGTTTACAAAAGAAACAATTCCCCCTATGAAGGAACCCAGCTTACCTGCTGTAATATAATTTTACAAGGCTCTTGACAAGCAATTGTAAGTACAGAGTGAGGTTGTAAGACTTTAAGACAATCCTGAAGCCATTTTTGACAATTCTGAATCCTCTCAGCCTCTGTGCCATAGTGCTTCCCCTCCTCCCCTGAGAACCAAGGACCTAACAGCTACACTCGCACGTACTCAGTTCCTGAACAATTACCCATATACGTATGCTTTGGTTCGGTCCCCTGGGAAACGGGTTCAAAATGACCTCTTACCTCATTTGATCTGGCAACATCTCTCCAGTCAATTATTGGTAATAGCCCTTTCAAATAAGCCAATCAGAATAGTCAAAGAACAACCCCCCTTGCTTCTGTGGCCCCTTTAAAAGTAGACTGTACCCGCTATTCGAGGTCCCTCGGCTTCCCGAATGCTGGGGGACCCTGTCATGACAGAATTAATAAAATCCTCATGCTTTTGCATCGGCTGTAGTGTGTGAGATGGTCTCTGGGGGCGACTCCTTCTCGGTGTTTGGACGCCAGAGTCCAACATTTGGTTCCCTGACCGGGAATCAAATCGCTCCCAGACACACTCTAGACCCAGTTGGAGGTATAAAGAAACGAGCTCATTTTTATGTCTGTTTGTTTGTATATTGTGTTTCTGTTTCTGTGTAATTGTAAATTAGTAATCTGAGAATTGTACCTGCGCAGGGCTAGTATTTGAAGGGGACCAGGCAGTGGGACAGACGTGTCCGGGAACACTCCCTGGCCCAGCCATGGAGGACGCTTCACTGGCAATTTGTGAAACTAGGAGCAACTAGGTCATCTTAGTTTCTAGGGAGTGTGGCCCTTATTGCCCACTCCCTTCCAGGTTCGTATCAGTTTGTTGCCGCGCGGCTTCTGATTTTGAGTTTATGTCTGTCTTTTTGTTCTTGTGTATTTTCAGTTCTACACCAGAGTGGTGGTGAGAGCACCAGCTTCTGGTTTTGAGTTTATGTCTGTCTCTTTGTATTTTTTGTTTTTGTATGTCGGTTTGTCTTTGTTAAAATCCACCTGCAGGAATTCAGAACCTGGCACCGGCCCCCTGGCCATCATTAGTTTCCCTGATTCCGAAAGCAGCCCCACTGCTGGAGGAGATGGTGGCTGCCCCTCCCCAAGCCCTTTGTCTTCTCTCTTTCCTGTACAGGAGCAAAAGAAACCCAGAATCCAGGCACCTCTGGTTCTTCCTGATATCCAGCCGAGCATGACAGACTTCTCCCTCCTCCTCCCCTGGAGGAAGCACTTCGTTCCTGAGGAGCCCCGCTGGTCGGGCCCTAGCCCTGAAAACTTCGGTACTCAGCATCCACACTGGGACAGGGGAAGGATGAGAATGACTTCCCAAACATTTCCCCTTCACTCAGTAGCAGGCCAATTGCAATACTGCCTTTTTCTGCCTCTAATCTTTACTTACAACCCTTCCTTTTCTTGGGACCCTCAGGCCGTGACCGGGCTTATAGAATCTGTTCTGGTTATTCATCAGCCCACTTGGGATGATTGCCAGCAGCTCTTGTAGGTGCTCCTAACTACAGAGAAAAAAAGAATGTCCCAGGAGCTGACAGCAGGCCAACCCAATCACCGGACAAGAAAGAGGATGGGACTTCAATACTCCAGCTGGTAGGGAGCAGCTCCGTCTTTATTGCCAGAGTCCAGTTGGCGGGTCTAAAAAAAAAAGGAGGGGAGTTGCAAAGCACCCCACTAATTTGCTAATTTGGCGGAGGTAAGAGCAAAGGTCTGATAGTACTCCTACGGGATTTTTAGAAAGACTATTAGAACAGTACAGGATGTAAACCCATTTTGATCCCATGGCAGCAGATCGCCAAGCCAATGTAATGATGTCTTTTATAGACCAGTCAGCATCAGACAGCAAGTTGCAGAAAATGGAGGGACGGCAGAGATGCTCCCTCCAGGACTTAATAAAGGAAAAAATTAGACAGATAGGGAGGCAACAGAAGACGACAGCTACAGAGATTGCACGCCTCAGACAGAGCAGCCCCTGAGTGGCCAAATGCAGACTTCAGTGAGGAGTGGCCCTACAGGACTTTGGGCTCGAGACACTTCCCAAAGCAGCTGCTGAGCAGAAGCAGGTCGGAGAACGGCGCCAAGCACAGCCGGCTACTGAAGCTGCACTCTGCCCACCTGAGAGGCCAACGCAGCAGCCACAATGATAGTACTGAAATCCACCCCTTGCTTATGCTGTGCACCCAGGTGTTCGATTCTGGGGTGTACGGAAAAAAGGGGGAGGGGTTACCCCTCGCTATTTCTAAAACATTTGACTATGGACACAAGAACTGCTGATTATTCCTGAATGTCCCACGCTTTTATTAAAAAAAGACCTGTTGGAGACTTTGATTTCCCCTACTGTTCTCCAGGACTGTAAAGAAAAGCAGGCTGCTCTCTGCCTTCGCCATGCCCACCTTGCTGAGGAAGGCTTTGCAGCCACTGCCTGCTGAATCCTCCCAGCTGCCTTGGTCACAGCCCAAGCCTGGGAACTCTGCTTACAGCCACCTGCCCCCGCAGGTAGCAACTGACTGAAGCGAGGAGGGGCCCGGGAGGTTCCGGAGCCCAATTCCAAACAGCCTTCCCGAGCTGCTTGCAAGTTTCACAGAGAACAACTGCCCCCAGCTCCCAGACCGCAGCTGTGGAAAGCTTGGGGTTCAGCAATGCCAAGGAGAGCCGGTTTTGATGGCGCATGCTGGTAAGAAGGCAGGGCAGCAATGGTAAATGAGCTGAGCAGCCTACTTAAAGGGACATCACCTGGATGGCAGAGAAGCTTTTTCTTACCAGGACTAAGAAGATCAAAGAAGAAATCTTCTCGAGGTTTGGCCTGCTCAAGGTAATCGAGGTTGATGGTAAAACTGCCTTGTTGCTCAAAAAAAGTCAGGGCATAGGTAAGACTGAAAAAAATTACATTGTACATACAGACCCCAGAGTTCAGGACAGGTAAAAAGGATAAATAAAAACCCTTACCAAATTAGCCTTTGGAATCTGGCACTAGAGACTGGGTACAGCTCCTTCCCCTAGCCCCGTTCTGTGTACGAAACACCCCGTCTCAGCTTGGACTAACCCCCTATGAGATCCAATATGGGGGACCCCCCTCTTAGTTTCCTAAGGCCCCTCATGACCCATTTGCTCACAAACCCCATCTGCAGGCGCGGTTGAAGGCTCTCCAGATCTCCGAGCCCAGGCATAGAGACCCCTGGCCACCCTGACACCTGGAAATCTCGCATTCGTTCCAGAATTGACGCCTGGGGTATATCCGGAGGGACATGAGAAAAGCTGCAGCACCCCACAGCCAGAACAGCAGCTGCCCGCTCATACCTGCAATCCATGCCTCCTCAAGCCCTTGCTTTGATACCCCTGCCCTTACCCCTGATTTCTGTCAACTAGTGGCAGAGCTAGCCTCCTGGGATATCCGAGATACATATCCCCCACAGCTGCCCCTGGAGGCTGGCAAAAGATTTTCCCCTGGAGGAAATATTTGGACACGGGGGTTCAGACATCTCCCCCACTTGTCTCCCAGGGGCGAGAGGCGGGACTGTCTCCATGGGTGTCGGGAAGGACTTGGGACATAAAATGGTATTTATCTGACCAGAGCCTGCTGCTGCAGGCCAGACTAGACCCTCCCTAAAGGGGCCCTAGCTATCCCTGCTGCTGCCCGCTGGACTAAGCTACTCTCCCTGCTTCTCTGCTGGCACCTCCCAACACCAGCCCGGGCACCCGGAAATCTCACACCTGTTCCAGGTTGGCGATTCTGTGTATGTTCAGAGACACCGGCCCCAGAACCTTAAACCTCGCTGGAAGGGACCCTACACCTACTGCCCTCAAAGTGGACGATCTTGCAGCCTGGATCCATGCATCTCACGTCAAGCCTACACCTCCACAGGACGACCCAGGACCATCCAAATGAAAGTTTCAGCGTACCCAAAATCCTCTCGCCTCTTGGGAGGATACTGAGCAAACCCCTGGAAACTTTTATCCTGTATGCAAATATTCTGAATGATATGTTTGTCCAGGGGGGAAAAATAATATGGGGGGAGCGGCTAAAGTTTATTGTGCTGTCTGGGGATGTAAAACCAATGTCAATGTCTCCTGGTTGAGGGTTAACAAAAAGGACTTAGTCTCTTTCACCCGTACCACACCAGAAAAAAAGTCTGAAATCACAATCACTTTTACTGAGAAAAAAAAAATCTGACAGGCAATACTTGGGGTTTATAGTTATATGATCCAGAAAAAAAAAAAGACATAGGGATTCTGTTGACCCTGTGAATGGTAACACCTCCAATGACCATAGTACTAGAGCCCAACCCAGTATTAACTGACCAGGGCCAATGAGCCCCTGCCGAGGTAGCCCCCCTTACCTGGGCCCTGGGCTCCACTCCTAGTCCTAAAAACCCTTCTACAGCTCCTGCTTCACTGCTGGCAAGCTCTAATACAGGCCAGTGACTGTTTAATCTGATAATGGGAGCCTTTTCTTTGCTAAATAGTACTGACCCCAGCTTGACACAATCTTGTTGGCTATGCTTGTCAGCAGGACCTCCCTAATATGAGAAAATAGTCTCATCTGACAGTTTATTGATCTATGATGGGTCTATAACACTGGTTTGTTGATTTCTGTATACAGATCCAATTGGTCCTCCAATTTTTTTTTTACAGAAGCAGATGTATTTTGCTTTACAGCCAGAGACCCTGACCTCATAAATATCCTGCTTTGCAGCCAGAGGCCCTGACCTCACTCTGTAAGCTGGGGTCCTTCGTAGGGGGAATTGTTTCTTTTGTAAACTGCTGATATTTTAAGTTTGGCACATGTGCTGACAATAGGCATCCTGTTTTCCTACGCAACCGGGATGTTCTCATGAGAGTGGCTAGCTGCAGGTCCTGAGAGGGTCCTGAGGGTCTCAAGCAAACAGGATGTTCTCATGAGGGCCGGCTAGCTGCAGGTTTTGAGGGGGGGGTCTGTAGGGTCTTTCATTTACCCCTTTTCCTTTTCTATGGATTTAATCATAAATCCATGTGTTTAAAACCTTTACGTCATTCTGCTTTAATATCTGATATTGCTGGGAGAGTACCATGGTTTGGATAACTGAAAGCCTGTCTTTCATAAACTGGACCAAGTGGCTTAAAATGCAGGGCCCAAACAGGACTATCAGAAGGAGGATGATTAAGGGACCCATTAAAGAAGACAATAAAGTTGTAAACCAGGGAGACTTATTAGCACAAAGACTACCTTTCTTTAAAAACAACAGATCAAGGCCCCTCCTGTTATGGAGTACCACCTCTGAGAGATTTGTTCAGACTATATCCACATGAAAACTAGTACAACTGATGGGACAAAATAACTCATACTTACAGAGCAGTATTGGGAGATGATAGTAAAACATCTCTAGGGTGTGCAATAGCTCTTAGCAAAATTATCTGAATGAGGCTTGAAAGTAACTACATGGTAGACATTGTGAACCACTATAGACCAGGGAATAGCATCCAACACTGTGGCAATAATGGTCTATTGACTACAAAGAGCTTAACTCAGCCCTAAGAAACACATGGATGCCTTCTCATAAAAGGCAAGTTCAGTATTATGAAGACAAATCTCTTTTGCTGTAGACACCGGGAGTGTTGATCCTCAACTCCAGAGAATGTGCCGGAGAGGTCAGTTTTGGTCTAGCTGGCAACACATGGTTTCCATTGCATCCTGTAGCATCAGCTTTATCCAAATGTACAGGGTTGTGTCCATTGTGAGAACTTTAACAAACAATGAGAGAAAATGCAATACAGGATGACAAATGTTCAAAACAAAACAAAAAAAAGCCCTAAAGCCAGAGGACAGCCAATGAGGACATAAATACCTTTTTGAGACTGACCTTACCCAGGCTTTACATTTGTAAGTATATCATTAAAAAAGTTTTAATATCCCATTAACATCTTTATCTTCTGAAAGCCATATTATTTTATAACCCCACAGATTAAAGCAAGATTTTCCTGTAGAAAAACAAAACCTGTCAAGAGCTAAGGAAGCTTTAGGTGTGTTTGCTTTTTCTCTGAAGTTATCTGCACAAAACTGTCTGCTCTGGAAAAATCTCAAACTGTACAAAATAATTCCTGTCAATAGGTCCCAGACACCCAGAGGAGGAACAGAACAGAATTGCCTTTTGCTTCTGCTGCCTGATAATGTGCTTCAAAAGACACTAAAAAAATGAGCAGAGCCCTGTGGGTTTCTGACTTTGGGAAAGAAGAGCCTTAAAGGTGATGTAAGCCCACCTTATAGCAGATGTGCCTGCCCTGTGCAAGCCTTGAGCTCAGGATTCCATCACCAGGGTTAGCCACTGTCAGCGGATACATGAGCAGCAGCTAACTAGCCAGGCAACAGAACTAGTGGCAACGATTGCCGGGGTGTTTTGAACCCAGAACAGGACAGGAGGGAGTGAGGTCTGTCCAGTCATTTTTGCTGGTCTCCAGGGCCAATTATGTCAATTTGTTCTTTTAGAATTTTATTTATCCTACCTATCTGACCTGAGCTTTGGGGTCGGTAAACACAATTTCCAATTGATCCCCAATGTATTGGCCACACCCTAACTTACCTGGGCAAAAAAGGCAGGTCTATAATGGGACATGATTATTTTGGGCATCCCAAAGTTAGGATGATTTTTTGATCTTCTTAGCCATTACATTGGGTGTCTCAGGCCTGGTCAATGTATGATGGCTATCTTCTTTGGCAAATAGCATACCTGCTGTCAGTGTATACGTTCCCTCTGCCATTGAAAGACCCTACAACCCCCCGCTCCCCTGCAGCTAGCCGGCTCTCATGAGAACATCCTGTTTGCTTGAGACCCTGAGGACCCTCTCAGGACCTGCAGCTAGCTACTCTCATGAGAACATACTGGTCGCGTAGGAAAACAGGATGCCTATAGTCAGCGCATGTGCCAAACTTAAAATATCAGCAGTTTACAAAAGAAACAATTTCTCCTAGAAAGGACCCCAACTTAACTGCTGTAACATCATTTTACAAGGCTCTTGACAAACAAATGTAAGTGCAGAATGAGTCAGGGCCTCTGGCTGCAAAGCAGGATATTTATGACAGGATGTCTGTCGCCATAAATCTATGCTGGAAGAGGAAAAACCACTTATGCCCCCCTGCCCCATTTTAATCAGACCAATAACCATGCATCTGCTTCTGTAATTTGCTTTTTGGCCACCCTCTTTCCTATAAAAAGAGCTTCCCCCAGTCTGCAGGCATGCAAGTCCTCCAAAAGACTCCAAAAGACTTTGTGGCCAGCAGGTACCTGTGTTTACCCAATAAACCTCTTGCTATTTGCATCCCAGTGGTCTCAGCCTGTTCCTCGGCTTCAGGAAGTCTCCTCTCAGGAAGAGTCTCCTCTCGAGGGAAGTCCTCTTCGAGGGTCTTTCAAAATGAGATTTTCACTCGATATAGCATGGTCTCAGAGAAACATCACGAGGCCCATGCAGATTGCTGTTTTTGAAGAAGCCTAGTTGCTCAAGTGTCATCTAGAAATAATTCATTTTCATTTG